AAATGTATGTAGACCTATAAAATCCTTAGTTGGGCCCCCGTTTCACAACTATAAATGTATGTAGACCTACAAAATCCCTCGTTGGGCCACAGTTTCACAACTATAAATGTATGTAGACCTATAAAATCCCTCATCGTGCCCCCGTTTCAGAGTCTAGCGCCATAACATAAGTAGAAGAACAAAACAAAAAGATTCCGATCGCCGTTTTGTGTAACGTCAAAGCAAGAAGCATGGGCCAAGCCTCTACTTGTTAATTCAATGACTGCCACTCTGACACCGTTCATAGGTTGGCTTTCAGGGGTTGCAAGCTGCAACTGTGTATCATACTAGTCCGTGGGTCGAAAAATGTTAATTTTGTGTTTTTTAAAGTGAGCTTATAGCTTATCTAAATAAACTTCTATCATACATACAAAATATATAATAAAATACACCATAATAGTACATACAAAATATATAATAAAATACACCATGATAATACATACTAAATGTATCACATACCAAAAAACATTGTCAACAAACTAATATCAACCAAAGTAATCCAACTAAAATTTTAAAACCACCTCCTCCCAAGTACCCTTAATAGTCTTAAGTTTGAGGAAGACCACAAAGCAAGGTGGCTCCAGGAAGTTCGGGAGTGCAACTTGAACATCATGTATCACCTTGGACGGAACCATGGAAATGCTGATGTATTATCCCAAAGACCATGTGTTAATGAAAAATGTAAGCACTGTGAAAATATATTAAAGACGACCTACACGGAGTCTAACAGACGGGATAATGAAGATATAGTGTGGTCAAACACTCAACTGAAAGAAACGAGTTTAAAATGAATTATATGATAGTTCCAGAATAGTGTAGCAACAACTACAGTTGGTACTTTCACAGTCGCTACATTCCAAAGCACTCTATCTTCACAACCTTCCAACAGTTGGATACTTAGGTGTTAAGAAAACACTGGAGAGTGTTTGTTTGTTTCAAATTAAGCACAAAGCTACACAATGGGCTATATATGCTCTGGCCACCACGGGTATCGAAATCCGGTTCCTAGCGTTGTAAATCCGCAGACATACTGCTGTGCCACTGGGGGCCTGAGAGAGTAAGAGCACGCTTCTAGTGAGTTGGGTGCTGGGGATCTGTAGAGATAAGAGCACGCTTCTACTGGGATGGGTGCTGGAGATCTGTAGAGGTGACTACAAACATCTACTGGACTGGGTGCTGGGGATCTGTAGAGGTGACTACAAACATCTACTGGACTGGGTGCTAGGGATCTGTAAAGGTGACTACAAGCATCTACTGGGCTGGGTGCTGGGGATCTGTAGAGGTGATTACAAGCATCTACTGGGCTGGGTGTTGGGGATCTGTAAAGAATTGGTGTAAATCATGTGAAACTATGCTGTGAGCAAAAAAAAAAAGATCCACGAAAGAAACAGCATGGTGAGTATTATGTGGGCTGAATTTCGCATTATTTTTACCAGGTAATTCAAAAGAACCCGCCTAACAACAACTATTGTCAGAAGTGGGTTTATTTTAGTGAAAATAAAATAGTACTTTGACTAAACTGGAAATTCAATTGTTTATGAATATACTACAATTTCGCGTTCTATAGTTGGCTTTATAGCTTTTATGTTACATTATTTTGAAAAGTATAATATTGAAAGGCTTATGACCAAAGTCGGAGATATTTTGAAATACCTTTAGTAATACTGTTTGATAGATTGTTTAGACAGAGTATTCAACAAATTTTCATCTTTCGTAATAATTTGAATTTCATGCTTCTAACAATAAATAGGTTTCTAAGCAGTAATGTGACTTTTGTTAGCTTTTAATATCTTATACAGCCTTTACAGGACCCTTTTTCGTAAGTTTCTTTAAAAAGTCCTGGCATAGCCTGGTGGTTATGGCGCTTGACTCGCAAGTTGCGAGTTCGAATCCCAACACCGAACATGCTCGTTCTTTCAGCCGTGTGACAGTCAATCCCAGTATTCGATTGGAGTACCCCAAGAATTGGCGGTGGGTAGTGTTGACTAAATTCTTTATATCACTTTTCAATTATAGCGCAGATAAGCCTCGAATAGTTTTGTCGAAATTCAACAAATAAATAATGATCTTTAAAAAATATAAATAGAATGGTAGTTCAAAATATTTTCAATAGATGGCACCACAAACTCGGCTACGCTTAAATACTGACTGAATAGTTTTAACTTTTTAATAATATTTTGATTTGAAAACATCAATAACATTTAAATGGAATAAACGAAACTGACTTTTGAATAATTTAAAATTGTTTCTTATTTATTGGTTTTCTTAGTGTAGGATATTCTAAATAGAAAAACAAACACATTAAACATTTTTGTTTCGCTAAAAAGCATTTTACGTAAAACACGCTGTCTATTCGTTGGTGTCTTATATATATACACGTATACGTGAGATTACATTGTATTTGTTTGTTTAGAAGTTCGCGCAAAGCTACACCTAATTTAGCAGTAAAAGAGAAAAGAGAAGGCAGCTAGTCATCACCACCCACCGCTAACTATTGGGCTATTCTTTTATCAACCTTATAACAGTCATTCAAATCTAACGAAGATATCTCCAGATACTAGTCAATCAAATATAACGAAGCTATATCTAGATACTAGTCAATCAAATATAACGAAGCTATATCTAGATACTAGTCAATCAAATATAACGAAGCTATATCTAGATACTAGTCAATCAAATATAACGAAGCTATATCTAGATACTAGTCAATCAAATTAACGAAGCTATATCCAGATACTTGTCAATCAAATATAACGAAACTATATCCAGATACAAGTCAATCAAATTTAACGAAGTTATATCTAGATACTAGTCAATCTAATCTAACGAAGCTATATCCAGATACTAGTCATTCAAATCTAACGAAGCTATATCTAGATACTAGTCAATCAAACTTAACGAAGCTATATCCAGATACTTGTCAATCAAATTTAACTAAGCTATATCCAGATACTAGTCATTCAAATCTAACGAAGCTATATCTAGATACTAGTCAATCAAACTTAACGAAGCTATATCTAGATACTAGTCAATCAAATATAACGAAGCTATATCTAGATACTAGTCAATCAAATTTAACGAAGCTATATCTAGATACTAGTCAATCAAATATAACGAAGCTATATCTAGATACTAGTCAATCAAATATAACGAAGCTATATTTAGATACTAGTCATTCACACTTAACGAAGCTATATCTACATATTAGTCAATCAAATTTAACGAAGCTATATCTTGATACTAGTCAATCAAATATAACGAAGCTATATCTTGATACTAGTCAATCAAATTTAACGAAGCTATATCTAGATACTAATCAATCAAACTTAAGGAAGCTATATCCAGATACTTGTCAATCAAATTTAACTAAGCTATATCCAGATACTAGTCATTCAAATCTAACGAAGCTATATCCAAATACTAGTCATTCAAATTTAACGAAGCTATATCTAGATACTAGTCATTCAAATCTAACGAAGCTATATCTAGATACTAGTCAATCAAATATAACGAAGCTATATCCAGATACTTGTCAATCAAATTTAACGAAGCTATATCCAGATACTAGTCAATCAAATTTGACGAAGCTATATCTAGATACTAGTCATTCAAATCTAACGAAGCTATATCTTGATAATAGTCAATCAAATTTAACGAAGCTATATCCAGATACTAGTCAATCAAATTTGACGAAGCTATATCTAGATACTAGTCATTCAAATCTAACGAAGCTATATCTTGATACTAGTCAATCAAACTTAACGAAGCTCTATCCAGATACTTGTCAATCAAATTTAACTAAGCTATATCTAGATACTAGTCAATCAAATTTAACGAAGCTATATCCAAATACTAGTCAATCAAATTTAACGAAGCTATATCCAGATACTAGTCAATCAAATTTGACGAAGCTATATCCAGATACTAGTCATTCAAATCTAACGAAGCTATATCTAGATACTAGTCAATCAAATTTAACGTTGACTAGTATCTAGATATAGCTTCGTTAAATTTGATTGACTAGTATCTAGATATAGCTTCGTTAAATTTGATTGACTAGTATCTAGATATAGCTTCGTTAAATTTGATCAATCAAATATAACGAAGCTATATCTAGATACTAGTCAATCAAACTTAACGAAGCTATATCCAGATACTTGTCAATCAAATTTAACTAAGCTATATCCAGATACTAGTCATTCAAATACTAACGAAGCTATATCTAGATACTAGTCAATCAAATCTAACGAAGCTATATCTAGATACTAGTCAATCAAACTTAACGAAGCTATATCCAGATACTTGTTA